CAAAGTATCGATTATTAACGAAATAATCGAGATATCCGATTTCCTGAATTACCACCTAATAAATCTGTAACGAGATCAAGCAAACAATATCCAATTGCGATGCCAAGAAGCCGAAATCACGGAAAAATGTCTGCGAATTAAGTGGAAGTCGCAACACCTTGAATTCCAAAGTACCAGCAATATCAGCAGGAATTAATTGCGATCAACGGCGATGGTTCTCGCCGATTACATTTTCGCATTTCCGCGGCACGCTGGAAATACCCTGGGAGCGATGCGGCGATGCGAATGAGGGCAAGCAAGCATGGAGAACAATAAAGTAATCAGAGGAGCTTTTCAAATCGAGCGCGCAGGAGAAGGGGCGCGCCCGTTCACGAAAAACTCCGCAGAGGTTTAAAATGTGGGCAACCACTCGACTCGCCAGTTTGGGTAGGGTGAGGGAACGTCGAGAGTTCCTACATTTTACGAACCATTGTACACGCTCCTTCCGCATCGAAAGAATTTTAATATTTGCCAATTTAGCCGGCGTCCGGGAGGTAAAGAGCCGGAGCTACCCTCGGCGCGATAACCACATCAAGGTGCCTCCGTCGGTTCAACTTTTGCCTTTGCATCGGTCAGCTTGCACGCCCGGCCGAAGAAAGAACGGAAACGAACTCCCACGAAATAGCCAAGCCCACGCGGAATCAACCGCGGCCGCCGGAAATAATAAAAGGAGCCCGGCCAGCCAGCCCCCGATGGGAAACGATCGCCTTTCGCGTCGAATTAAACGCGAAGACTCGGCGCATCCTGTTTTTACCAACTATTTCTCCTGTTCGCGTTATCTCGCGTGGAAATTCCGCGGATGTTTCTCCGACTGAGAGCCCGGGATACGTGCATTTGCAATTTTGAACGGTGTTCGGAGAGCAATCGGCGAGAAGACATTGTAGATTGAGTTGTGTTGTAATGTCTATTATTCTCGCGATTATATATTATACTTTAATAAACTTTTTCGCTTCCTTTTGGCAAAATTAATAATTTTAACTTGAGAGATATGACTTTGTCTGACCAAGTACAAAAATATTTGCTATTTATATTGCGAAACTGCTTAATATACTGTGCAATAATACTATTCAGTATGTCTGACCATGTACTAGACAGTGCTACTTACCTAGTGCATTGATTCTATTTAAAATTTTCTAACTATTCACAAGAAATGTACTACTTGTATTATACGTCTGATCAAACACTAAACCATTGTTATTACTACTTAACCATTGACTGTTATTACTTATTACAAATATAATAAATCTTCTTAATACAATAATACAATCTATTCTTAGAGCATAACGACTATCATCAACTCCTTATACTCCTTCGTACTCATTTCAACATCATACTCAAATTAAAAACCACTGTGGAGCCATCGTGGAGCAAGCTGATGGCTGGCCAACACGGAAGGAGCATGCGGAGGAGAGTGAATGCGAACAGCCACGGCATCGCAGTGAACTTTGATATTTCGTAATTCCATTGCTCGCAATTAGGGCCGGTAATTACCATAACCATTAGCGGGCCAGCGGGACGCAGCGCCGAGAAACTACCCGGAACACTCTGGATACCCAGGCTGTGTCCTGGACATAAATACTGGTGGTCAGCCCGCCGTAGGAATGGCCACCATCCAGTGGCAGTGCCGCACCAACTCCGGCGACCTAGCCGGACACACAATCAGGAACTTGCCTGAGGAATGCAACCGCAGCCAGTTTCTTAGGGTGGTCGAATTAAACTCGTTCCATACGCCAACCTACGGAACCAACGTTCTGGGTCGCGGCGAAAGATGTCCGAGCCCCGGGTCGGAAACGCGACCAAACTCCGACACGAAGATGGACATTTCGTGTGCATCGGTTCCTTTTTTTACCTAAGGGGTAAATTTGATCAAGATTTGTGAATTTCGTTTGATCTTCTTGGAACGCGGAAAAAACGCGTACGGATTTTTAAGAAATAATTTTCGCAGTTGGAATACGCGTACAGCGACGAGATTAAATCACGGTAGACTTGCATACGCGAATTGAAGAACAGGAATCGATGTTAGATCGTAGCAAATTTTTTCAATTTTTCATTAATGTTTCATTATTCATAATTCTCAGCAAAAGTTACAAATTGGAAACTTGTACCACCATCGAGTATCGAAAATAATACAATCTCAGATCATTCGGAGAAATAAGAAATTAATGAGACGCGTTTCAAACTGTAACTCTTCTGATGCTATTACACTTTTATCCCCGATTAACAGACTCACCTGTCGGAATGCCGCGTTCACGCGCGAGTTCGCCCCGCGTAAAATGACCGATTAATAAATTCGCGGTCGAGGGAAGGTTCGTAGCGGCGCGACGTACTCGCAAGGGAGGGTGCAAGGGAATTCAATTAATCCAGCGTATCGAGCCCAAGGTGGACTGGCGGATATATCGGCCAGGCGCCTGAAATATCCAATTTTCTGAATGGAAAAGCACATTAGCCGAATGTTTAATTGCTACTCGGGATCAGGAGTGGCCGTTGCTGGCCAGCCACCGCCGCTGCATTTCCCCTGCAGCAGCCCAAACAACTTTGCCTCCGACTCTATCCGCCTCTACTTTCC